AGTGTTATGTCTAAGTAACAAATTACTTTCTGATACTAAGGTTTCCTTTAGATCCAATTCTTTTTCTCTCAAGACTTTAAAAAAGCATTGCATTCTATAACCATCAATGTTAACCTGGTCCATTAATAAAGATCTGAAATAATACTAGAGGTCAGGCTAACAACAACAACAACAACAAAAAAAGATCTGGAAATGTTTTTAAACTTCCCTTCTTAGTAATTATACATTCATTAAAGAATAGGCCTGGCATGTCATAATTACTCTTACCAGTGAGTCATAAGTCTCTGGTTTTTCTTCTATTTTACCAGCTTTTTTCATTCTGTTCAGTCGCTTCTTTTCTACAGCACCAGTTCGATCAAGGAAGGTGTCATCATCACTGTCATAAAAATCCTCATCTTCCCAATTCTTTGACTTCCTTTTTCGAGATACTGGGAAAAGTTTAAGGGAGAAAGCAAGGAACAAAATGATTTGCAGGCCACTGAGAAGTCAAAGAAATTCAGTAGAGCAATCTTGAATTCCTAAAGCTTCAGGTTTTTTTAGAACTAGCTCAGCATTTAACAGGTTATTTACCTGCTTCTTGCCTCAATACTCCCCTAGCATCCAGTAGCCTGCAAGCTTCCAGTGCACACTGGATCATTGCTTCTTTCTTCTTTCCTGAATGGAGAACCTCTGCCACCAGCTGCTTCCCTGATGCATCGTCCACAGGCAATCTGTTCAGTTCAAAGGATTACAGAACAGCTTCAACAGAAACAGCTTTTCATGGATGCTACTCGCATATTGTTTGTCATGCTGACATTGTTTCTTCCACCTCTCTATAGTCTTCTTTTGTGGGTTACCTATTTTTACATTTCATCTGATACACTACTAACCCAAACACGAGCACGCACTTTCTAAGCTTAAGTAGATCTTTATTTTGCTAGCCCAGACAAGAAATCTTCCTCCATTCACATTCATCTTGTATCTACACAACACCAGTAACAAATACTTTGTGCCATACTGAAGCAAAGCTTCCTTAAGAAAAGATGAGATGTTGTGCCTGCTATTTGAGACCTATCCTGCTTACTTCTCACCTGCTCACCTTCTCCTGCTTAGCAAGAGAATGATGTTACTGGCCAGTGGAAGGGATTCAACAAAAACTACATTATACCATCACATAACTGAACTGGGGTGCATAGTAGAATAAATGCTTTTTTCCATCTTCTTTTCCATTAGGAATTAAAACACTGCTTCCTAGTTTCTTGTCTTGCATTTCAATTTCACATATTTCTGAAAACAAGGGGAACTGAGAGAACCTGCAGTCATGTTTTCCCAATTTTCATCTTTCAGTAGTATCAAATGCTGACAGATCTGGAAAAAGTAGTAGACACTAAAGTAGACACTGATCCTTGACCTTTTCAGTATCAGGACTTAAGTCTAATTCCAGCTGGCTTCCTTGGCAAGCATGATAGACAAGTAGTTCCTTCAGTTTTTGTTTGTAAACTCAATGAAGCCAGTTTCTACGTACAAAAGTGAATGAAGTTATACATACTTAACCCTGCATAGCCAGCTATTGTGCCCACGATCATCATATTCGTATTCTAACTCTTCTCCTGGAGAGGAAAAAATGAAAGTTGATGTAGTTAGCAAAGATGAAGTAAGAAGGAATAAACTTTAGAGCAGAGAAAATTTGCCTTTTTCTTTTCTTTTTTTCTTCTTTTTTTTCTTTTTTTTTTTTTTTTAGGCCATGTGATCTTCAGTTGATAGTAAGCTCATTTGGACATTTTTCACAATCAAGGGTCTTTAAGTGATCTCTGTTTGGTAGAACACAGATCAAAGAAAAAAAGAATCTTGCACCTGCAGGCATAGAAGTAAATAATACTGAGGCAACAACAGTTTGCATTTTGGGTTTACAAATATTGTTTCCCTTGAAGATTAATTTCTCATGTTAAAAAGTACCTAAGCCATTGGTAAGTTTAAATCCATTCACTGTCTTTCAATACTTTCCAGTTCTATCTCCTGAATAGCACCATCTGGAATTTAATGGTTTGGGACTTTTCAATAGTTTCTAAAGATGTATGTGATTTGAGTGCCACTCCAGAGAAACACAAGGTGCTCTCTGCAACTTCCAGTTGAGAAGTTAGAAATTAAAAAACACCAAAACCTTGACAAAACAAAAAGCCCTGCCCACAATGAAAAGTTTTACTTTCACACTTTAATTCCCAGAGAAAAATGGGAAACACCCAACTCTACTAAACAAAAATAATCTACAAGTAAAAAATACCTTCTCTGTCAAAAAAGCCCTGCAGAGCCTTCCTGGGATCCTTCATATAGAAGGCATCTTGTACATCCTGAAATTCAATAGCAATAGGGTTTTCTTCAGCCTCATCCTCCTCAGCATCCTCCCCTGGATGAGCAACATACAAAATAAAAACAAAATGGTGAAAAGTTAGAATGAGAACACCAAAAAATTTCAAATATTGTCATTGTGTAAGAAGTATGAGCTATATTATCTTACAGTGATAAGCTTTAGCTGTTTCTGTATCCAATCAAAAAACACTTATTAGTTATTCTGTGTTAAGATACAGTTTTGCACGTCAGTGCTGTTTCTGCACTTTCAAGGGTTTATGTGCTTACACATTTTAACTCACAAAACAATCCATTTTGTACTGAAAAGCTCATTAATAACTATTTAAGATGTGGACTTCATATTAAAAACCTGAAGACAGCCTCCTTGCATAAGCAGTCTCAAGTATTAAAATTCCACCTGTCACGCAAAGACATCAATGTGGGAAAAAAAAACCAACAACACTGCATAAACTAAACTCTCAGTTTCATGTCATTTCTGAAGTACAGACAAACCCCCTTTTCCCCAATTTAAAAAAAACAAAAAAACTCTCCTTGTTTTGCCTTCTCACAGCACTCCTATTTTTAAAAAGGGCCGATTTGTACTCAAAAACATTCACTGGTGTATGGAAACTGCTGAATCATGGCTTGAACCTCTGATTGATCACCTGAGGTGAGCAGTGAGTCAGCCACCAAGCAAGGCAATTCACCTGTGCTGCTGGAAGGGGTGGAGCCTGGCTCCACCTTCCTAGACCCCATTTAAGAGCTGACTCCCAGTGGGGAAGGATCTCTCTGGAGATCCCTCCTCTGCAGCTTTGCAGCAAGCCCAGGATGTAGGTAAGCTTTCTATCTATTCTCTTTTTATTATTATAACCTGCTTTGCTTAACTCTCTAGTTTATTTCATAATTATAACATCTATATATTCATTGATTATAAAACTGGCTTTGAAATCCAACAGGAATTTCAATGCCAGTGCTCACTGAAAATTCACTTAAAAGCGTCCTAAGGTGTATCAGCTCATCTATGTATCAGTACTCACCCATTCCCCATGAGCAGCTCATATCAACGTTCTGACTGCTTTCATTTCCTTGCTCCTCTTTTTCATCTTCCTCATCAGAATCCTCTCCCAGCATGGTCTTTTCCAGCTTTGCTTGCTGCTGCTTCCGCAGTGCCTTCAGCTGTGTCACGGTCAGCTCTGACTCAGACTCCTGGTCCTCTTCAGGTCCCTATGTCACAGAGAACAACTTTATGAAAGTGTTTTAGATAGGAAAAAAAACAAAACACTTCTTTTCAATAGGCGTGCAAATTACAGGTAGTAACATAAATGGATCGCAGTGCTCATGTAAAAGCTGAATTACTGGACCAATTGTTATAGATTGCATGCTCAGATATATCAATTTCAGTGGCCAAAGGGGGCAAAAAGAGATGAGCATTACTGTTTAGTTGTAGGCAGCTCAAACACAGCTTTATTTAAAGGCAGAAAGCAAGGATTTCCACCAGTGCCACAATGGAAGCATTTGAGGAACAAGCAGCTAAGTCCTCTGACCCCTACTAATACAAGCTCTCTTTTTGGGCACGAGGAATCACAAAATGGTTTGGGATGGAAGGACCTCAAAGCCCACTCATTTCCAAACCCCAGCCATGGGCAGGGCTGCTCCCACCATCGCAGGTTGCACAGCATCTCATCCAACCTGGCCTTGACACCTCTAGGGATGGGGCACTCACAGCTCCTCTGGGCAGCCTGCTCAAATTGATATGAGTGCAGCCGAACCACCCCCCCATCTCAGAAGCGTTTCCCTCTCGCTCCAGGCCCCTGAGTGGGCACAGCCACCTGAACTGCCGCGTGTGACCAGGGGAAGCCGCCGTGCAATCTCCGAGCCCCTCTCCCGGCCCACCTGCAGGAGGAAGAGGCGGGAGCTGCCTCCGAAGCGCAGTCCGTGGCCCACCCGCACACGGCAGTAGGTGCGCGGCGGCACCCGCGCCTTGTTGAGGAAGGTGCCGTGCGTGCTGCCCAGGTCGTACACGTAGAAGCCAGCATCGGCGTCGGGGCCGTCGGCGGAGCGGCCGCGGTACTGCAGCACGGCGTGGTGCCTCGACACCGACGGGTGCTCCAGGGCCAGCGCGCAGCCGGGCAGCCTCCCCACCAGGAACCAGCTGCCGCCCTCCAGCCGCACCGAGCCCAGCAGCACGCCGCCCTTCAGCACCTCCAGCCCATAGCCGGCATCGGCGGGCGGCCGGCCGCCCCACGGCGGCTCCTCGTAGCGCGGCGCCGGCATGGAGGCGACCGGGCGGGGCGGCACGGGGCCGGGCGAGGGGCCGGGACTGGGCGCGGGGCCGGGCTCGGCGTTCTGCGGAACGGGCAGCGGGCGGCTCGGCCGCTTGAACTCGGCGGGCTCGGTCTCCGTTTCCATGGCCTCCGCCATCTTGTCTCGTCCGTTCCCAAATAGGGTCCTCCGGGCACGAGCGCCTCCGGGGCTGTGGTACCGGGCGGAGGGAAGGGCGCGGCTCTGCCGTTCGCACCGTCGCCTCGGCCACGGCTGGGGGTAGCGCGAGGGACGAGACCGGCGGTGGGTGGGGGAGAGGATAACGGGGAAGGGTGGCGGCGGCCGTCGGAGCTCCGTGCGGGAGCGCGGCTGCTGCGGGGTGCCGCGTTTGGCGGCGGACCGAAGCCGAGTTCCGGTAGGGCGGAGGGGAGCGAGGTACGGCGGGGCTGAGCTTGCGGCCTTCCCCTCCGCCGAGTTTCCCGGCACCAGTCAGAGCCCGAATCGCTGTGCGGAGCTGGGGCGCGGCGCCGTTCTACTTAAAGTCGTTCCCTCTTCTCTGCTGTTTTGCTTTCTTCTTTCCCCCTTAGGAGAAGCAGCTGTGCGTTCTGTTGCACGGACGTTGCATCCTGATGCTGTCTTGAAAGCTGGGTTTCTCACGGTGACTTCAGAAGAGTTTTCTTGCCGTCGGTTATTTGCTCTATTCCGAGGCTGGCACCAATCTGTTGCTGCCCAAAGCTGAGAGTTTCTCCCCACGGCTTGTACTGCAGTGTTTGGGAGCCTTCCCAGTGCCGTGAGGACGATCCTGTGTCACAATGCTGCGCTACTGGGGCGAGATCCCGGTGCCATCCAACCAGGCCAACCGCAGCTCTTTTGACCTGCTGCAGCGGGAGTTCCGCACGGTGGAGGTGCAGGACCCTCCTTTGCACCAGCCGTCAGCCAACAAACCGCGGCCCACCACCATGCTGGATGTCCCCTCCGAGCCCTGCAGCCTCACCATCCACACCATTCAGCTCATCCAGCACAACCGGCGGCTGCGCAGCCTCATCGCCATGGCCCAGGCACAAAACCAGCAGCAAGCGGAGGGCATCAAGACAGAAGACAACGAACCTCTGCCCTCTCGTCCGGCCTCGCCGCCTCTCCCCGATGACCTGCTTCCTCTGGACAGCAAGCCCCCCAAAATGCCGTTCCAGCTGAGGCACAGTGACCCAGAGAGTGATTTCTACAGGTGTGTGGTATTTCCTTGGCTTCTTTCAAGTTGGAAATTAGGAAAAATTTCTTCTCAGAAGGATCAGTGAAGTGTTGGAACGAGGCTGCCTAGGGAGGTTGTAGAGTCATTGCCATCCTTGGAGGTGTTGAAGAAACGTGCGGATGTGGCAGTGGGGGACATGGCTCATGGGCATGGTGATATTGGGTTGGTGGTTGGACTGGCTGACCCTAGAGGACTTTCCAACCTTAATGATTCTAAGAATCCTGTCTGCAGGACAGCTGAGTGTTCTTAAATATATATGTTATTTTGTCAGTTCCCTAAGGCTGATGAATTGTATGTAAAGAATAAAATAGGCCTAGGAACAGAAAGATTGAGATGCACGCAACATACAGTTTGTTTAAAACAAATGTGTCTTTGCTTTCTGCCTATAAAATGCAGATGTGTAGTGCTGATTTCTGTCTCATTAGCACTCAGCTTAATGGTTGTTTTGCCATCTTCAGTGGTATTTTGATAAAGCTAGTTATTGAAGCGAAGTCTTTTATGTTTAGGTCACTTACTATTAGACTATCTGTATTCTGACAATTCAGAAGATACACAACTGGGTGTTGGCCCTTTAGGTTCTGAGAATATGCTTTGTTAATTAGTAACTTGTAAGATTTCAGTGCCCAAGGATGAATGGTGTTGCCATCTCATCCTACTGTCAGTGTTTGTAGCCTGGTCAGAGATGGCAGTGAGTGCTGGTGGGAGGTAGTTCCTGTCTCTCCAATGCTGGTTCCACCAGCCAAGGACTTGAGGAAATAGAAAGGAAGGTTGCATTGCTCCTTTGCAACTGATCTTTGTTTACACAATATTGCCACCTCCTCCTTGCCAACCCTCTGATGAACACTACATTCACACAGAGATGCTCCATTTTTTGCAGGATCTCATGGTACCTCTTAGACTGTGCATTTAAATTCACAGGTTAATCCTCACTGTTCTTAAGGCTGCTCTAATAAATGTGATATAGGAGAAAACAATATCTCATTTATTTTCAAATGTGGAAAACTTACATCCATGAAATATAGTCGGTTAAACGTGTCAGATCTTTTATGGCCTGGATTTTTTTATTGAAAGATGTTCCTTTTGGTAACATTGTCTCTCTGCATAGTGGAGCAAGACTTTAGTGCTGTTTTTGGAGGAACATTATGTCCTGGTTTCAGTTGGGATAACAATTTGAATATTTCAAACTTGAATTCCCGTAGTATTCCTGTGTGAATTGCCATCTAGTCCTGGTGATTTGCAACTGTTGATGTTACAGTTCTTGGAATACACAATAGGGGATTAACGTTTGATTTTGGCTGGTATAGAAACAGAAGGTAACCCTAAATTATCACCTTCATCCTTCTGGGATGAAATAAAGTGATTTGCCTGAAGGGATGAGGGGATATCCCATGTGTATAAGCTTGAGCCCTGTGCCTCCTGCTCCTTATTGCGTTATGGTTTGTAGAGCTGAAGTAGCCTTGTGTACCTTGCAGTCTTCTGTGCTGACCTTTCTAATGCCTTTCGCTGTAACTTTAAATTTTCAGTGGCCCTAGCCATGGTTTGGGGGCCGCTTTGCCCTTTTATTGTCCCTTGGGAGTCTCCGAGGTGCTGGTAAACAAATGTTATTTAACAGTCAACCACATGGGGGAGTTTAAGGACTAGATTGCAGTAAGTAGATGGGCGGTTTGGAAATGGAGCACTTTGTGGCCGACTGATTTAGTGTGAGCCGTGGTACAGAGTAGAATTTAACTGTATGCCTGCTAAACCAAACACATTTCTGCTTTTCCAGGAGGCAAGCTTTTGGTTTGCTGTTGCATATTTGCTGTTTTAAGCAAACGACCTACAAGATTTGTCAGTGCTTGTTTTTAGTGGGTAAAACAATCAAGGGAGGGACCGTTCTTCTTTTTGCCAAAACATGATATTGCTTGGTTTTATGATGCCTTTTGTGTGTCATTGCCAGAGCTACAGTGTTAGACTAAATGCATATTTTAGTTTCGTTTTCTTTAGTAGTAACTTTGGTCTCAGAAGTAGTGTGTAGGTATGTTTGTCCATAGGAAGAAAGGAAGAGTGGCCAGCCTGAATTAGACCACAAGTTTCTTTAATATAGCCATGTTCTCTTCTGTTTCCCTGTTATTCATTTTTTCCTTTGAGCTCACAGCCTTGTCTTTTATTTCAACAATGTTAACCTCTTGGTTGATTTTTTTTTTTTTCTCTTTTTTTTGTAGCACCTTCTGCCCCACACCATACCTGTAATCCCTGTTTCCACATCCCTTTTGTAGTGAGGAGGAGGCAGAACCTAATTTACTGCTACTTTTCAGTTTTCTGGCCTTTTCAACCCCTTCCAGAAATCTGTGCCAGCAAGAAATTTAATTAGGACTCTGTTCCTTTTCTGCATTTTTTTTAGGCTGTGGATAAATATGCGGAAAAAAATATTTGACTCTGGCACAGATCCTTGAGGAATGCCCTTAGCTTTCCAATGTAGGTCTCTTATATGCTTGCTTGTCAATGGCTTTGGAGGGCTGTGGAAGGCTTATGAAGCAGGTTTTCCACTTACAGGAGCTGTCTGGAGTCTTTCTGAAGGTATCATATTTACCCATCTGTCCTCTAACTTTGTTCTTATCATTTCTGTGAATTTTCCTGATGTACCAGAATAGTACAGGCTTACCAGCCTGTAGTTTTTCATATTTTTTTTTTTCCCCCTGAATACATTGAAAGAGTATTTTCACACTTCCTACCTTCTGGTTCTCATGGGCCGTGGCACCTTAAAGCAAGAGGTGATTCACCACAGCTATTCAGATGTTTCATCCCTGAATTCCTGTAGTATTCCTGGGTGGATTGCCATCTGGTCCTGGTGATTTGCAACTGTTGATGGAATACACGAATACACCGTTCTTGGAATACATGATAGGAGATTAACATTTGATTTTGGCTGGTATAGAAGCAGATGGTAAATTCAAAGCATAGTTGATGAGGAATAAGTAAGGAACTGTAAACTTACAACTGCCATTTCAACAGGAGATTCTTACCATAATATGGCTGTTAGCTCTTCCTTCCTCTCTGTTCAGCTTCCCCCTATTAATATGGATCCATTGTCGAAAGAAGCCTAACTTACTAATTATACTGCTCTCCAGAGGATTTTGTGTGTGTGTGTGTGTGTGTGTACATGGTTGCTTTCTTAATGGATTTCTCTGTCAGTCTCTCATGTGTGTTCCTGACCACATCACGTTTGCGCTTTGTATTGAACTGAGAATTGAACTGGGAGCTCGCCATGGGATGAGAGCTCATGGCAGAAGGCCTAATAGTTAAGTGTTTGTACAGAAGTAGGGAAGTGCATGTTGGTGGGATAGCAGGGTTAGCGTTGAGGGGGATCTGGAGTAGTAGAAATCAGAGCAGGCAGAACATGCTTAGCCTGTTGGATAAAGCATTTCAGTTCCACCTCCTAAACTTTATGGCATTCTGCATTGTCCCACTGGGACCCAACTTATTTTCCAAATGTTAGCTATTACCTGTTGCCATTATCTACTGAACAGTTTCTGTATATACCTGGGCATCCTCCTGCAGGCAAAGCAGAGCTATTTGAAAATAGGCTTACTCAGGATGAGGCAGAAAGAAGTCCTTTCCCAAAAGGAAGCTTATTTTTCATTTTGAATTGGTGTTTTTGTTCACCAATACGCTCTGATTAGTATAATCTCTTTTTTTTTCCCCCTGATGTTGTCCTTTATTTTATTGTGTTGGGAAAAATGGCTTGATGCACCTAATTTGGTAGAAATTCAACTCTACATTGAAATGTTTCCTAAAACTAATGTGTTCATAAGAAAACAATCCCTCCCTCCATCTGCCGCTAGCTTATGCTCTCCTATGTGGGAGAAGAGCACTTCAGTCCATTACCGCAGGTGAGTAAACCTCAGCTGTTGATGTTTGTACTGACTCAGTCCAAACACTTTCCCTGAGGTGGCACAGCAAATGGACCATAAGCTCTCCTTTCCTTTCAGAAAAAAGTCTTTACAGGAGAGGAGCTGGGGTGAATGGACTGTGGTGCCTTTGGGGGCTGGCCGTGTGTCATGTTAACTGGCTGAGGAAATGAGCCTGTTGTGAGTTCTGAAACCGTATGAATAATGAAAATGAGCCCAATTGGTGTAAACTGGTCATTTTTTCCTCATGTGTTGGTGTAAAGTTCTGCATGTTGCACATGGGTAACAGTAGAAGAGGGCTCAGCTTTTGGACCTGATGAATTTGTTGTATCTTGGCAGGTTGATTTCTGTCTGGAACGTCATCTGGTGTTAGTGACCCATGGAAATGGTCATGGAAATTTGGGAATACGAAACTGAAGAGTGAGAAGGTGGCCAGTGTTTGTGATAAGTTTCATACTGTATCCTCCATAGGGATGATCACCTCCAAGTCATAGGCCTACCTGCTGGTCTTGTTGATCTCTAGGCTTGGTTTCAGGTGGCAGCTAGATGAAGAGCCTTTTGGTAAAGCAGCAAGTACTGCAGAGAATGGCATTCTGCATAATAGTATTTGGGGAGCTGCTCATGGAGCTGTTGGGCATCTGGATGAGATCTAAGACCAGTGCACTTTACCTGTGATGACTGGAGGAAAGAAGTTTGCTGGGAAGACTTGGCATTAGCTGTTCTCAACTTAAATGTGTCTGTATGCCCATTTCTGTTTATTTTTCATCTTATTAGATGGTACCTGGAAGTTAAAGGAGATGAAGAAAAAAGATATTGTTGTTTTCTGTTAATGTCTATAGCAGTGTTTCCTTTTTTTTTCTCCTGTCTAATCAGGTTTTTAATCATCTTCCCTTTATTGTTTGCCATGGAAAACAGGAAATCAAAGGAAGGAAAAATAAGAAAAACAAAACAAAATTGATTGACCTTAGCAAGAACAAGAAGTGGGGAGTTGGATTTGAGTACAGTACCTGAAATTTCTTTTCTCTCTGTCTTTAATTGATTAGACTTCAAGTTGATTATATCCCTTTCAGCACAGTGACCTAGCTGCACTTTAATGCTGGCAATTAGTTTCTTCTCCTCTAGGAATTTAAAAGAGGTATGACATTCTGTGCTGCTTCCTGAACAGTGATATGCATTCCTGTATGCATATTCACTTCAGAATTGGCTGAATATTCTGCTTGGGCTGCCACATTCTGTATCTAGTGCTTAAGTTTGCCCATAATGCTTTGTATGACTGACAAACCATCAGTAGCAGCTATTTGCTTCTGTATTAATTGTAAACTAGTGTTTAATGTTTTTGGTACCAGTTTTGGTACCATTTTGGTACCAAAATCCCTTCCTAGGTGCACATTTTGATGGCTGCTTTCCGGTTGTTTTTCTTTCTTTCTTCCCCCTCACACTCGGCCCCCCCCCCCCCCCTCCCTTTTTTCCCTTTTTTTTCTTTCTTTGTTGTTGTTGTTGTAACCTCCTTTTCCCAGCACTGTATGAGTTGTACAGCTCTTTGTAAGCTGCAGAAATCTGTCCCTGAGAGATGGAGGGCATAGTTAGGGAGATGTAAAAACAGCACAGATGACACTTGGTTTAGAAGGGTACTGATGAGCTTTTAATTCATTTTGTCAGAGCGCCGGCTGTTTTCTTTCCTTAGTACTCACATAATTGAGTAGGAAACTGGGATGTGAGTCATTTTCCAGCAATTAATGACTGGGATGAATCCATGACCTGAGATCCACATGCTGTTCTTAATATCCACGTAGTAATATCGTCACCTGCAGCTCTTAATATAGTGTGCTTGCCACCCCTCTGCCTCTTTACTTGAATAAGCAGAAAGTGTTGAGCTGAGCTGGTTCTTTAAAATGAACCTCTGGGCTTTGGTTCTCATAGCTCTGAGCTTAACCTCCCATTGTCAGTTCTCTGTAATGTTATCTTTTTCTACTGCTATGTTTCAGTATGGGTCAGTTCTGAGGATCAGCGGGAGCTGTGGCTCTGTGACCCAGTGTCTCAGTGAGAATGAAAGATTCTCAATGGCTTGTTGGAGAAGCAGAATAGTGAGAATTTTACCAAGACTACTGCTGCCTTCTATGTAAATCATTGGTGTTGTTTAATCAGGTCTTGTTACTGGAGAGGTTGTGTGCAAATAGTGTATGGAGAGTGAGACAAAGTCTCAGAGTGGGCTGAATGAGATGTTGGAAGAAATTGATCAGAAACAAATGAAGGGTGAAATTGCTAGCTTTCTTCAGCCATTGATTCCGAATGGAGTGGAAGAAAGTAAATAAACACCGTACTTAGCAAAAGGATACTTGATTTTTGACATCAGCAGCTGAGGATTGTTATGGGCGAATAAATGGCGTATGTTTAATTGTGAGTTTAGAAATATGATAGAAGTGTGTTTACATTTCTTGTTAAAACTTCTCCTAGCTCATCTTCTTTGTTTCCTACGTGGAATATCTGTTTGTTATCACACTGTGTTGAAAAATTTGGTTGCTTGACTGTAACTGAATGATTTGGGAAGTGCTCATGTCAGTTGTCCTGTCTCCTCTGTCCTACACTGTCACATATTCCTGCTTAGCAGAACAGAGAAAAGAGGTCTCAGGCCCAAGGCCAAGGAATGCTGCTTTCAGGGCAGAAGCTCTGCGGGCTTCCTGGGAGGCTTTGTGTTTACTTGCTGTGTCACAAGTTGGGATATCTAGTTCTCTGTCCTGCTCTGTGATTATTGGGAGAAAGGATATGGAAGTGGTCTTTCTGGCTACAGTGTAGCTTTATGAGATGTTCCCATTTCTGACTTTTTATGTGTGTCTTGTGCATTATAAATTCAAATCTTGTCTATCCCAGAAGCCTTTGTATCTGACTATTAGGCCTATGACATCAGAGATAATAAGGAAAAGAAATGTAATTAACTGAGAGGGGAAATGATTTGCATTTGTTATTTAAAATGCCTTTTTTTTGTTGTTTGTGTCAAGTACCTGTTTAATTCACATCTCTAGGAGAAAAGCTCTTTGGTGGGAAGGGAGTTGCTTAAGGATTCAGAAGATTTGCATCCCACACTTATGAATCACCCAAGGATTCTTATGGCATTAAAAGTGAAAATGGGACTCAGTAGCACTGATTTTGTGGGAAAGGGAAGGAAAGTTGATAAACCTGTGCTAGATGTATTCTTATGTAATGGAGAAACTGTGGTGAGCTCCAAACGACTTGCTTTCCCTCTGTAGATCATATTGAAAATATGCTTTGAACTGATAAATCATTTGAGTTTTTGCAGATGTGCTCTTTTTCTCCCTTCTGCTTTTTTAGAGGAAAAGGGGAGCCTGTGACTGAGCTGAGTTGGTCCTCCTGTCGGCAGCTTCTCTACCAGTCAATGGCCACTATCCTGGCTCACACGGGCTTTGACTGCGCCAACGAGAGTGTCCTGGAGACCCTGACAGACATAGCCCACGAGTACTGCTTGAAGTTCACCAAACTGCTACGCTTTGCTGTGGATCGAGAAGCCCGACTGGGGCACACCCCTTTCCCAGACGTCATGGAGCAGGTCTTTCATGAAGTGGGCATTGGCAGCGTGCTCTCACTGCAGAAGTTCTGGCAGCACCGCATTAAGGATTATCACAGCTATATGCTTCAGGTGAGAGGAGCAGTGGTGAGTGGGCTGCACGGCTCAATTGTTTGTTCCCTTAACAATATGGAGGTTTTCCAATTGGAAAACCTCATGGTATGGAGAAGAGTCAAAAAGGAAACTGGAAATAGGCTTTTTTTGGCGGAGATGACTTATTTGTGTCCCTACAGAGGCTAAGAGTGCTGTGTTGATAGTTTGGGTTTAAGGGGAGGCCCCCAGCTGTGTGATGACCCAAAGTCAAAGTAAAGTCAGCAATGACAGATTAACTGAACTTTTTCCTTTAAAGGGATGTTTGGCTGCTTACCAGTTCATAAATAAAGGGAGCAAATGAGCAAAAATTACTTAGCTGTACAATGGCTTGTTTTGGCATTAGCAAGGGGTGGCTTGCTTAAGCAATTAGAGTATAAGACTAATACTGTACTGATATGAGTTATTTAACAAGATCATCTATAGGGAACTGTATTTCTGTGGTGAAAGGAGAGGAATTGTTAAATCTCCTGGGAATGAGAGGTGCCATGTAAATGTAGGTTGTATGAATAAGGGCATAGTTTTTTTTGGTCCATATATTCTGTGGAATTGAATGTGTGTTTTATTTGAGTGACAGAAGAGCTTAAGGAATGCAAGAGTTGATGCGGGAACTTTATTCAAACTCATCGAAAGCTGAGATTTGAATCAAGGAGGTGGCCCGTGACCAAAGGCAAAACCTACTACAAATCATCTTTCTCTTCCTCATTGTCATGCTGTTTGAGAGTGCTAGTTGACTCACCTTGGAGCAGCTGCTTGTGCTTCTTCCTATCCCATGGTTGTCACCTTGTGTATTACAGAGGTAGCATAAATCAGAAACACCTATAACTACATGTAGTATGTAAATTGTGATGGACTCTGGCTTGTGCATAAAAATAGCATCATCAAGATTTGTCCTCATTAAAAGTGTTTTTGTTCCAAAGGACTGATTGCATGATTGCATTAGTTAAAAGATACTCTTGTGTTGTTGGGCGTTTATTTATTTATTTATTTATTGTCCTCCCTGGTTTGAAGGGCTGTGAAGCTGCTTGTAGTGAATGTTTGCATCCTGATACCTAGATGTTGTTTCTTTCTGGAATTCAGGTTTTCTGTAGCTGATGTAATTCATCCCGCAGCCAGTTGTTGTCTTTCTTATTGTGGTTTTAATATAGGCTAAGGTCCACGCTAACCCTGTATTTAGAAACTTGTCTAGAAGGGGGAAATAAGCTCTGATGTTATTTTTCTTTCTTCTCATTTAAAAAGGCTTTGGGCTTTTCCTGAACACAGTTGACTGAACATTGGGATTCAAGTGGTACAAACCAGTACTTGTTACAAGCAGACTAAATCTGGAAGTCTTAATTTAATTGCTTACAGTTTTAACACTTCTAGAAGCAAGGAGATTGTTCCAAATCTCATTCCTGCATTTCAGTGGTCTGGAGAAAAATGGTTTTTGTTGTTTGTTTTTTTTTTGCTATGAATCTCATTGAGGGTAACCAGGCTTTGCTAGTGATGACTATAGAACCTAATGAATTTCTGATCTTGTTTTTTAATGCTGGAGTAAGTTTTAGTACTGATAGACAGAAAAACCTTAGAGGTACAACCGAAGAATAAAACTGAGGTCATTCTGTCTTGATTTTTTTTCCTTTGCTTAAATTTCTGGGCCTCATAGTTGCTGTCTGTGAAATAAATCTGCTCGTGTATATCAAGCAGATGTGTTAAGGAATTAAGCCTTCTTTTAAAGTTCCTTGATAAGGGTAGAAGGTTTCCTTAAAGGGGGAAAGGATCTTTTTTTTTTCTTTTTTTTTTCCTGTAGCTGACGACTCTGTACTTGTTCAGCCACATCAGACAATAATACTCAAGTGGAAAGCACACTGCAATGTAACTGTCATCAAAGTCTCTGAAATCACTGTGACCTTTCCTGTCTCTGTTTTTTTTTTTTTATATCTTCCCTGATCTTTGACAGGTTAGCAAGCAGCTCTCTGAAGAGTATGAGAAGATTGTCAACCCTGAAAAGGCAGCAGAAGACACAAAGCCTGTGAAGATTAAGGAGGAGCCTGTTAGTGATATCACTTTCCCCATAAGTGAGGAGCTGGAAGGAGATCTTGCTTCTGGTGACCAGTCTTTGCCTGTTGGAGTTCTCGGAGCTCAAAGTGAGAGATTCTCTGCAAATTTGGAAGTAGAAGCTTCCCCACAGACTTCAGGTAGTTGCTTGTTGTTACTACTACAAACAGTCCCTCAGCTGTTCTGTGTGATCAGGTAGTGACAGGACAAGAGGGAACAGTTTCAAACAAAAAAAAGGGGAAATTTAGATAAGATGTTAGGAGGAAATTCTTCATTAAGAGGATGGTGAGGTACTGGAACAAACTGCCTATGGGTGCTTCATTCCTCGTGGTGGTTAAGGACAGATTGGATGGATCTTTGAGTAACCTGGTCTAATGGAATGTGCCCTGTCCGTGGCAGGGAGTTTGGAACTAGATGATCTTTGACGTTGCTTCCAAGCCAAATCATTTCCCCTGAAGAGCACAAAATGGTTTCTTTATATGGTGCTTATTTTTAGGGGATGGTCATTCTTGGCTTTGTTACTAGTAGCTGTGAGCACTGGAGTCTTTCTCCCAGTCTGATGTAAGGAAGGCAGAAATAACCAGAGTTTTATTCTCATTCCTACTCAGGAGGAAAAGGAGTGCAGGTGGGGTCTTCTTTGTTTCTTTGTTTTAGTTTGGTTTTGTACTTTTTTTTTCTGAGTAGTCTGGAATTCTTGTCCAGAGTTTCGTGTTACTGAGATGTTGAAGGCTATGTTCCTTGTGACTGGAGTAAAGTCAGGAGTCTGTGTGGGCACTGAATGAGTTTGGAAAATACTAACGATTCTTGTGCAGACTTCTGTATTTGGAAGACATCCTGGTAGTCACAGCCATTGCTTTATGAAAGTTTATCATTGATTTAAGTGAACTGTACTTGTGGGAGTCTCTTGTCCTCTTGCAAGTTTCCTGAAAGCCTGCTGTAGTTAGCTGCCACCATGGAAAGTGAAACAATGAGTGGAGTTGTTATGGAGTCTGTCCTCTGTTTCTCAAAGTCATCCCTGTGTGTTGGCATTGAAGCATGCTGGTGGCTGACGCTAAACAGTCTGCTGATGCTGTACCGTTTCTGTGTCTATATAGGCCAATTTTATTCTCTGCACCTTCTGATAGCACTGAGTTTTACAGAAAGTGAAGTCAACGTTCTTTCCTCAAAAAACAAACGGTGTTTTTTTGGTGGTTTTTTTATTTTTATTTTTTTTTTGGTAGAACCTTCTGAGCTTTACCAGTCTTTGCAATAATAAATGTTTCCCTTAAAAATCTGGTTTAAAAGCAATGAAATATTAACCTTAACATATGTATTATGTATCGAGGGCAGAGTGTACCTCTCAGTTCCTTAGCTTTTTTAAAAAATAGCATATTCTGTTGAATTAAAAAAAAAAAAAAAACAACAACAAAAAACAAACAGGAGCAACAACACAGAACGTACACAGATCCATCTGATGTGTTTCTAAAAGCTTACATTGTTTTCCATTATACTTCTGAGATGTGAAGCACTCACGTTTTTGCAGAAGAAAGAATAGCAGGTTCTTCTGGCCCATCTGGGGTTGCAAGTGATTCAACTGAAAAGTTTGGTATAGCATCTACCACTTGAGACTCAGAGGTTAGCACGCTAGCTGTATATTAAATGTCTTTTGCCTCTCTGATACCGAATTGATGTTTTCTAATTAAGAATACAAGTGCTCTGTTCCTCTCTGAAAATCCCTCTTCACTTCACAAGGGTCTTTGGAAGTCTCACTGCTGTTAAGAAGTCCCAGTCTAGAGATGGGCAGGCTGGAGAGCGTAATATCACCAGATGTGAGAGAAAGCTGCTGCAATTAGGACACCATCAGCTCAAATATGCAAGTGTGAGACCTGTAGAGAGGGCAGCAGTGCAACGGTGTCAGACGGCAGAATGTCCTTTCAGCCTTCTCTGTTCTGCATGTGTTTTTGCTTATGCCAGAGGTCACAGCTGTGGACTAGCTGCTTAATTTCAGTGCAGCTGGAGAAATAGAGGCCAAATTGGAGATCTTGTTCCTCCACCCAGACAGACAAATGAGGATTAGCTCATTTGTAAAGTACTTGGAAGCTGAAGTGCTTTGAAGATGAAATGTGCAGTGTCACCGCTTAAGTACTGTTAGTCCTTGGTGACACTCTTGATGACAGATAGTAGAGCTGAAAGGAATAAGGTTGAGCAATGCAGAGCAATTGATGAAAGAAAGAAACAATAAGTTTAGTGAGCACCTTTGATTATAGTGCAGGCTGGAGCTGCAACTCTGTGGAAGTAACAGCATTTTAATGATGTGTCCACTGTTGTTGAGAGGAATGCATTCACTTGTGGTTAACAGAAAAATAACTTTTCAATAAGGCAGCTGGACATCAGCAAGCACTTCAGCTCTGGCTCGCTGTCTGACTACTGAACTGATGCAGGTTGTGTTTTCTGCCCTTGTCACCTAAGCCCTGGTATGGGCTGCATGGCTATTAAAAAGATTCCCAATCCATACATAAGAGAAAGTTCACAGTACAAACAAGTTGGAAGACTTGTTCTTGGTGTAACTAGTTGGTAGTGAGGGAATATTGATAGGCATATTTTAGTAACAGAGAATAGTAATGGTACATATGAGAGGTTTGGTTGTGATTTAAACAGTTGCAAAGCTTAATAAAACCTAGTTTCTTAGTTTGTGTTACTATCCGCATGAATTTAACCCCTCAAAAGAGGGATCAGATGTAAAGTGAGAGAAGATTTTAGGCTTTGGTAAGATTTGGGCTCATTATGTGCATGTCAGCAAGGGGCCCAATTAGTATGTTTTTAATAGGATTTTTGTCTCTCTTAAAACTTTAAATAAGAAGATATAATGCAATCTATAATTACTACTCTTGGGGACAAAGCATTTGCTGTTTTTAAGAAGCATGGTTTCATAATCTTAGAAAATCCTCAGTCTGCTCACAGTTTGCACACTAGTCCAAATGAAAAACAAAACAAACAGCAACATGTTACACTAGCATGGATTGGCCTGTCTTCCTCTGCAGGATGAATTAAAAATGGGAAGATTCCTCTTGAGTGTCTGTCTGGCCACCCATGTGATAAGAAGTCATTCATTGTTGCTGTCAAGTTACGTTCAAACAGGTTTTGGAGGAATTAAACATTTATGGCCTATGTTTTGAACCATACTGATGGCTTAGAAGGGGGTGGATTTATTACTTGTTATCTGCAGTAAATGCCCTCCCTCAGATCTGTTACTCCTGTTAGAAGTTAGGAGAAAAGGGAGCATGCAAATGACACAGCGCAAAGATTTGCTTTGGATCGCTAATCCAACTTTCACAAGCATCCTGAAGATGTTTGTGGTCCAAGATTTGAAGAGTTATTACTAATTTTTTTTTTTAATTATTTTTACATTTACTATTAGGAAGCCCCACATCCATTCTGAGTTAAATAGTGCAAATCTGAGCAAGCTTGAAATACTGTAGCCTTACCATGACTAAACTATGTTACAATGGTGTTGATAAGGCTATATGCATTGAAGAGTGCAGTGAGGGAGCAGGGAAGAGCAGGTTGAGTGTTAGGAAAAGTTAATTCTCTGAAAGTGTGGTCAGGCACTGCAATGGGCTGGGAGGTGGTGGAGTCACTGTCCCTGGAGGTGTTCAAGAAATGTTTAGGTGCTGTACTGAGGGACGTGGCTTAGTGGGGAGATACTGGTGATAGGTGGACGGTTGGAGTGGAGGATCTTGGAGATCTTTTTCAACCGTGGTGATTCTATGATTCTATGGTAGGAATCCAAGGAAGATCCTCCAAGTTAATTTAGATAAAATATTCAATGATTTTTTCTGTGTTTTAATGGAATTGTTTTAATCAGCCATTTAAAAAAAATCCATATGATTCCCTGGACTGTTTAACTTCCTTCTTTGTAAAATGACCTGGGACTCACCATGTACCTGTTTCCAGTCTCCAGCCTCCTTGCACAGATTTCCCCTATCTGAGAACAGCCGGGGTTTACCTTGACAGAATGGGAGGCAGTGAAAAGCAGTGCTTCCTATCAGCAGCTCCAGAGCCACAGCAGGACACACGGCTTTCACCCCTCTTGGTCCCTGGGTTGATGGCTGTCCCTGGCTGAAGCCATGTAGGCCTGGCTGCTGCTTGCAAGGTGGGGCCTGCACTGATTCTGATAACTGGATACAGGGCATGAGAAAACTGCACAAGGCTGTGTCAGGGGAGGTTCAGACTGGATATTAGGGTAATTGTTTTTTACCATGAGAGTGGTCACATACTGGAACAGACTTCCAAAAGAGGTGGCTGATGCTCAGTGCCTGTCAGTGTTCAGGGGTTGTTTGGATAATGTCCTCATTAATATACTTTAACTTTTAGCTAGCCGTGAAGAGGTGAAGTGGTTGGATCAGATGATCTTTAAAGGTCCCTTACAACCATTCTGTTCCATTCTAAGTCCTACTTGTACAGTGTACTGTCAATGTGCTGTTGGCATACTCATTGCTGCTGAGACACTCCTTCCTTGTTATTTCTAAGTTGTTATTTCTCGTGAAAGAAGCCACACAGAGAATAGCATTGTATTTGCTCTGAAAGCATAGCATCATATTTTTTAGAGCTGGAATTACTGGGCTATTACTAAAAAAAAAAAAACAACAAGCTAACAGATTTTTTTTTTTTAATTTACTGTTTCACAAAAAAAAAAAGCTGACAGATTTTAATTTATTCTTTCACACTGGTTGATGGTTATTCTCCAGATAATTTCAGCTGTAGGTTTGCTTTTACTTCTTCACTGGTGCCACTGTGCCTTGCATCGGCTTACTGTTTGTAGTTCATTTTTTCACTTGGTTGTTAATGTATGCTTTTTCTTCCTCCAGGGGCTGAGGTAAATGCTTCCCCACTCTGGAACTTGGCACAGGTGAAAATGGAGCCACAGGAAAATGAGGAGGCCAATGTACATGGCCATGGAGTCCTAGGCAGTGATGTCTTTGAGGAGCCTATGTCAGGCATGAGCGAAGCTGGGATAGCACAGAGTCCCAATGGTTCTGAGAGCAGCTATGGTTCTCATTCTGCTGACAGTCTGATGGGATCCTCACCTGTCTTCAACCAGCGCTGCAAGAAAAAGATGAAGAAGATGTGAAGAGAGGGGGCCTTTTTATTTAGTTCTGATGGACTTGAAACAAACCAAGAGAGTTCTATGATGGCTGTGATGTATAAATGGGGCTGGCCCTGGTGTATGAGGAGGCTTGCATGAAATTGTTATGAGAGATTTGATGTGTAGTGCGCTTCATCTCCCCTCATAGCTGGCTTCTGTGCTCCATCCTGACTCATGAGATTGAGGATGACTGGATGCATTTGATGGTGTCATGGCTTGCTTTGGCAGACTAATGAGGAAGTTACAAGTGGAAAACAGCCGTGAGATTTGTTAAGTCACAGAATCATTGAATAATTTGGGTTGGAGCTTTCTAGTCCAGCCAAGGCAAATAGAACAGGTTTTCCAGGGCCTTGTCTCATTGAGTTTTGAATATCTACAAGAATGTTGAGTGAAAAAAGATGGTGAATGCTCTCTTGGCAACATTTGCCAGCATTTGACTACCCTCATAGGAAAAAGATTATTCTTACATCCGCTGGAATTTTCATGTTTCAACTTGTGTTCATTGTTTCATTTTCTATCACTGTTCATCTCTGAGTTCAGTCTGACTTTGTCTTCTCTAATCTGCATGTTAAGTGGTTGTAGACAATGAGATCTCTCCTTAGCTTTTTCCTCTTCCTATATCTGTAAAAACCAAGCTCCCTCAGCCTCTCCTTGCCTTGTGCTACAGTCCCCTAACCATCTCAGTGACTTTCCAACAAAATTGCTGCAGTGCCCTTATTGTAATAGGAACCGTGGAAGTGGATAACATCCTCCAGATAAGGTCTCACAAATACAATATGAAATAATAATTTCAACATTCTGGCCACACAACTGCCAACTGTTGCAGGCAGCAAGACAGTCTCAAGTTGAGTAATTTTACTGGGGGAGAGCCTTCACTGATGATGATGATCTAGCAAAGATGCTGGAGTGTGGCCTTACGGTGCCATCAGCTAGCTCCTTTGGTGCCTTCAGATCCATCTTGTCTGTTTACATGGACTTGAAAACATCTGGCTGAAGTTCCTGCTAATTCATTCTTCCTTTGCTCTACGTAATACCTTGTCCCCTTGCACTCTTCTAGTAGACCCAGGGGGGCAGACCTAAGTAGTGAAAATGTATACTTGTGTTGAGTACATCAGTCTCAAATTGCAGCCTTTGTTTCCAGGTTGTCGAACAGCAAACCTGCATTTTCTTCAACCTTTCTTTTGCTTCCATTGCACGTAGAAAAGCCCTTCTTCGCATTTCTGTGTGTTTCAACTCCAGCTGAACTTTGCCTTCCCTAATTCTCTCCCTTCATGCTTGGACTCTGTCTTTATATCCCTCCTGGCCAGCCCATTCTCATTCCCATTTCTGTGTACATTTCTGTGTACATTTCTGTGTACATTTCTGTGTACATTTCTGTGTACATTTCTGTGTACATTTCTGTGTACATTTCTGTGTACATTTCTGTGTACATTTCTGTGTACTCTGTCAGTGCAAACTTTTCCTTCACTCCTACTGGATTGAGTGTAGCCACTTCAGGCCAGTTGCTATCTTGACAACTTAGTCTGAAGCAGAATCTGTTTTACTGCTTGCTTTTATGGCTCAGCTGACTGATGACAATTTTTGTTCTGCACAGTCCTCAGTTGATCAACTCGGTCTTTATCTTGATTCAGTGAGTATCTCTCTCAAAAGAAGCTAGCATGAACACGAATCAAGAATGAACAGTCACTTAAACTGGTTTTATACCCGTAACCCACTGTGATGTTTGAGGGAGACTTATCAGACCTCCCATTTGTCCTTAGTATTGCAAGTTTATCTTTTGAAAGGATGAGCTCCAGGCATAGTATTTTTTTTCCTGTTTCCTTATAACATGCCTAGTCTTAGTTCTTTTTTCCAAACTGTATTTCTCTTCCATTTTGCAGAAGTGGAAGCCAAACGTTAAATTCCTCTATGTCTAATAAGAATGTGTAGCTACAGGCTTTTATGGACGTTGGAGTTAAAATTGCCCATTGCAGTTTTAAGGGCTCCTCCTGGGAGGTAAATTCTAGCTTTTTGAAGTCTAGTCAGTAGTTGAACAGAGGACCAGTGTATCAGGAAATCTTTATTTTGATTCCCTCTGAGTCACCATTAGGAAAACTGCAAGGCCTCTGTTTTCTCAACTGTAAAAAAAAAAAGAATAATAGTATTTGCTACTTAGAAGTCTGTGAGATTTAGTTACTATTTAAAAAGGTACTTTGTTCCTTTAGAGAGTTTTGTTAGAGCTGTGAGCTTTTCTTCCATTGGAGTATGACTGTTGCTGGCTGGAATATGCTTCTGTGTGCACTGAAATGTTAGTGACCTACATTATACTTGTTTTAAACAAAGCAGCTTATTATAAACAAGTATAGGACAGCTGTGCTATTTGACTGCCGTAGTACAAGGAAAGCATTTTAGACGGTGTCCTCTGACTGAACTTTAGACTTCTGCAACTGAATTTGTTGCTCAGGGCCCTATTTGCAGCTGAAAGCAAACAGTCATTTTTAGGTCAACATGGGTCTGACCTAGAAGTAGAAGTCTAAAGGAGGTCAGAAGAGTGTTGTTTTAGAAGTATTTATTTTTCCACTATGCGCCAATAAAGTGAATTGAACTTGATTACCTCAGCTAAAGGCATCCACTCCATCAATATTAGTGAAGCAATCTGAATTCAGCCTTTCCTGTCTTCCTGCTAGGCAGATATTTTTCATCTTCTTCTACACATTCAGTAGTGCTTATCACTGAAATTGTAGGACTGGTCTAAAAGCAGAATGCTCATCTTACTTCAAACAGCAGATCCAGGGTTCTCCATAGCACACAGGATGTGCTTAGACCAGGGTCCTGAGGTTCAGCCTGGTTTGGCTCTTGGGTCTGTCCTTAATACTGCATTAGAACAACTGTACATGAAGCATTCGCCAAACTGCTGTGAAATATTTTTGAATTTAGGACACATAAGCAAAGTCCTTTGCACCATTTTCAGGAGCTAGAGGACAGAGTGGCTGCTGTCAGCATGGCTTGCTCATTTGCAAGATCTCAGAGGGGCTAAAAATGTGCTGCTCTCCATGGCTTTAGTTAAACCGCTTAAGCCTCAGTCTTAAGTGCTTTCTTTATATTGCTCAAGTACAGATGCTCGTCTTACTTTTAATCGTGCTTTCGTATTTCATATCCCCTTTCCACACTCACTTCGCCCTGTTATACACATGCTACAAGCCAAACCTGAGCCCTCTATTGATTCAGCTGTGTTGTTGCAGTATAAGGGAGATGTGTTATTGATTCTCTTTGGGAAGCTTGTTTATGCAGGGATTAGAAATGCATCAGCATGGTTTGTACATGTAAAAAGTGATGGCAGAGTTAAGTCTGTACCTCCTGTTTCCCATTATGCTGTGTTGCTTTTGACTTTTTGTGCACTGGATGTTTTCTTTTGTGCATATGGAAGCTTTACCTTGTAGGTGAGCCTCTCCCTTCTGAACGTTTGCAGACTTGGAATTTACAGCGCTGTACATCATGCATGAAATAGTGAAATTTCAAATCTAGCACACCAGCTCAGATACAGACAGTGTGCTCTTCTGACGAATGAAATAAGATTTTACTAGGTGTGAGGAGCTAGTGAGAAGTTCATTGACCATGTAATCCCCAAATTTTAAGCTACACTGAGATTACACAATGGCGTGGAATGAAGCTCTGCTCTCGCAGTTGGTTCTTTTTTTTCTGGTCCTTGGTAAAGTGCTCTGCTGGCCTATCTGCCTCAGAAGTTTACTATTTTGTTCATTCTTTCATCTTTATCCCTTCCCTTTCCTAAGGTGAATGAATGGAAAATTGGAATATGGAGGGTTTAATGCATCCATGTCCAGTAGCACTGATGTCCTTAGAGATTTATTTTGCCATGAATTACTAGGCTTTTGAGGTATTTTGCATGGGAATGATAGAGGATTGCAGGTGAGAGAGTGCTGGGCATGATATTTGTTTCCCTTTTTATTCCTTTGAGAAGTTTTACCTGGCGTCCAACAAAGTTCACTGTCAATGTGAAAAGTTTAGCATAGGTCAGACCATGCTACCTAGTGATTTAATTCCGAGACTATTCATGCTAATTTGAATATGCATAACGCTGTACAGAAAAAGAGATGTTCCCTGCTTAGAAATTTACAACTGAAAAAGAAAATAGGAAAATAAGATTAGATGGGGTAGGTGAGGCCAATCTGATTATATGCTGAATTCTGACACTAATGCTTATGTTATGTGTGAAAGATATTTTACTTAAGATGTTTTTGTACGTGCATGGGAGTGAAATACATGACTTCGTTTGTGTTTATATGGAACAAAATTGCTCAGAAATATTTCAGGCTTTTTTGCTTGTTTGTTTTTGTTTTGTTTTTCTCCCCTGCTCTCCTGGAGAGAGTATCTTTGCAATTTCTAAGGAAACAAAAACACTTCTCCAGAAATAAAAATTCTTGAGGTTTTATCTGATTTTTTTGTTGTTGTTGTTTGTTTGCACAGAAGCATGGCATGGTGAATGCAAAGCCCAGTTTTGGAGTTCTGTCTACCCTTGTGTGGAATTTGGAATTGATCTTTTGCAAGCCTAAATAATGCTGACATTATGGAGATTATATTGGTGTTAATATAATAACTAGAAAGATAAGATGTTACTCCAGGATGTGGCTAGGGAAGGTGGAAGTCTTATTTTTTATGGGTGCTACTCCTAGCATGCCCTAGAGGAGATGTTGGTACCACAGTGTTAGTGTTGGCATTCATCTGACATCTCATAAACAGTTTGATATTTCTGAAGCACTACTGCCTAAATTACCAGACTACCTAGGAGCCCTGCTCCAAGCCTTGTGATTTACTCTTTTATGTGCTGGTCTAATTGTGCTACATACTGCTTTATTTATCAGGGACCACGATGAATGAAGAATAGGACATTTTCCCCTCTGCGTAGGAGCAGCATGTTGGATTTGATAGCCTTGTGAAATGACTGAAAATTTCTTGTCATGAATTAAGATACACACCTGTATTACCTGGGCAGGAGAGTGGGAACAATGACAGTAATAATGCCCATCTTATTTTAACCAGAGTGGAATCTGTCCTCTGAACCACGTAGAATTGAATTAATTGAACAGTATGTGGGAGTCTGGGGAGTGCTTTGCACTTTCCTGGAGGAAAAGGACAGTAATTGCCAGTTCAGGTTACATGCCTCTGCTTTAAAGCACAAGCCTACTTGTGTCCTGGGTTCACGTCACTCTACCCCAGTGACTGTGCAGTATCACCTGTGTCCTGGAGCCAGTATGCTCTGAATAATCTTCTGTGTCATGGAAGGTGCTCTCAGCTGAATGATCTGATGCCGTATGGACGGCTGCAGGAGTTTAACTACAAACTATTCAGTGGAACAGAAAGGAGAAACAAATGGGTTTGTGCTATGAATCTATACAGGAAGATCCATATACAGAATGTATGTTTTCCTCCATCTCCTTCCACTGTTTTCCACTGGCTCATGCTTCCAGGCGCACACCTCTGGCCAGGCCCAGCAGACATGGAAAGGGCAGACTTGGCCTGCTGGGAGGTGCAGACTTGTTCTGCAACACACACCGTGTCAGCAGCTCCAGAGAGGTCTCATCTTGGAGTGCCACAGCATGGGGACTGACTCCATTTCTGGTTGTGCTGCCTCAGCCTTAAGTGTGCTGGCAGCTGGGAGGCAAAGCAAATAATGAGTGAGGTCTCAGCAGGGGCATTTCACAAGCTCTCCCATGACTGTGGCTTGCCTCCTGCCCAGACATGATGCTCAGGGGCTGGCAGGCTGTGTGCCGCGTGGTGGTGCTGGCTGCACGCCATGCAAGGGCTGCCAGCAGCTGCAGATCCTCTCTCCTCCCCAAAAAACACCAGACCCCAAACCGTGTCATTTTAACAGCATCTTTTATATGGGAGATTAGAATCGCCTCTGCTTGTTGCTATGGAAACACTGGAGTGAAAGGAAACGACCTCATCATGATTTATGATGAAATCCCTTTGGGGTGGGCTTGCTGCCCCAGCATGCTTGCTGTGGAGGGAACAAGGCTGGGGGATGCCTGGCCTTGGTGTGGGGGTCCTGGAGCCTTGCCTCCTTTGTGCCTTCCTCAGCAGTTTGTCTGCCTCTTGGTCTTTTCCCTTTGGCTCAGCAGGTCAGAAAAGCTCCTGCTGCTGGAGCAGCCTTTTCCCTTGGAAATCAGCTCAGAAGTTGTGTCTGTGTCACTTCTACACGGTGTTCTGAGTGCCTTTGGGAGGATCACTGCTATGGGAACAGGGTCCCATCAGTGAGCTGGACAAACAGCTTGGATATTGTAACAGGTTTTCCAGGGCCCTGGTATCTTTTTGCATGTGTTTCCTTCAAATTATGGCTGCTGCCTTGGAGCCCTAACTGTCTCTGGAACTGTGCCTTACTCTCAGCTTTGTGTCCAATCCAAATGTTGCTGAGATGCTCACCTGGGCTTGCCCTGACTGGAGGGAAAAAAAAAAAGAAAAAGAAAAAAGGATTGTTTATGTTAGTTTTAGCTAAAGTTTTCTTAATTTTCTCTTCTCTTTTTCTTTGAGAAAAGAATGCTCTCTTTCTAGAGAGGCTAAGCGAGTTTGTCACGTATCTTTGGGGAGGTGACCTTCTGTCCTTTTGTTAAGAGCATTACATGGTCACCAGGGCTGACTTGTCCTTGTTCTCATGAAGTACATCTTACTGGGAGGAAAAGAAGAGGTGAGATGCTGGATTGTGAGGAATTTGAGATAAACTGGGCTGTTACTACTAGTACATGTGCTAATGTATCCCTAGGAGGCTGTAGAGGTTGGTAAAAAATGAGCAGCTGCCTCCAGACCCTGCTATAATTACTGGTACAGCAGCTGCTCCATCCTGCTGCTCCTGACGAGCTGCTGGCCAACATGGCATGCATACTGGCCTCCAGGTCCAGCATGAGAGCTCCTCCATCCCTGTCGTATCCAGACTGCAGGGCAGGGAGGGGCAGGACTTAGAATAGGCAGGAGGGGGCTCTACTGCAGCCTGGGCTGGACTTGGAGTCTCTAAGGGTCTGTGCCAAGCAGTGGTCACCTCTGTGGCTCTGGTAAACCTGTACCCCCGTAGGTCCACAAGTTGCTTTTGGGACTTGTGGGAAGAAAGCTGGCAATTTACTCTATCACCTGGGTGAAAGCCTGTGCAGGCTGAAGGGTAGTTCAGATCTTGGAAAGCGTTGGATCCTTGGCCAGACAGCTTTTTGTTGCTGCTCCAGTTGACGGCTTCATTTTGACAAAGCTCACTGGGAAAGAGCTGCTAAATGGAACAGCCCTTCTGGCTGTCACTGCACCTCCCTGTTCCCTTCAATAAATACTAGGGTGTATTTACAACTGAAGGCCATTTTTTTCATTGGAAAAATCTGGAAGATATTTCTACCAAGCTGCCATTTTTTTAACATGCATCAAGGAACGCAGTGCTGTGGGCTGACCCAGCACTGTCCTTGGGCAATGAAAGATTTCAGCAAGTGAGGAGAAGAGCATGCATGTCCTATGCACTCAGAGTGGGATTTTGCCACAGGAGCACGTGTACTGCCATGCTTTGCTAGAGCTGGCATTTTAAGTGGTAACCCTATGAAAGACTGCAGAACCTTACCCTGTCTGGGCTTTGGAGTAGTGCAAAAAAAAAAAAAAGGGCTGGAAAATGACAGCATTTGCCAATACTGGCACTGTATGGGAACTGCTGAGTCACGGCCTGAACCTCTGATTGATCACCTGAGGTGAGCCATGAGTCAGCCAGAGGAGCACAGGTGAAGGCAATTCACTGTGCTGCCGGAAGGGGTGGAACCTGGCTGCACCCCTCCTAGACCTATTTAAGAGCTGGCTACCAGAGGAGAAGGATCTCATGTGGAGATTGCCTCTACTGGTGTTTTGTGGGTGAGCCCAGCGTAAGGGTATGCCTTCCATTTATTCTCTTTTGTTATCATAGTCTACTTTGCCTGACTCTCTTGTTTATTTTGTGATGATAACATCCTAATATTCTTGATTATACTAGCACACAAACAAGCGAATAGAGAAAACAGGCCTACAGGCCTTTGTTTTTTTTTGGTGGGTTTTTTGTTTTCCATGCATGGAGCAGCCACAGTGTTGGTTTTGGCGTTTCTAATCTTGCTGGAGGGAATTTACTGTGCATGGTAAGTCTGATGTTTGTGCTATTGCAGTTGCTTTGAAGAGAACCATGCTGAATATTTAGCAAAAATCTTTTTTTTTTTTTTCTTTCTGCAAAGCCCAGTAATAAATGGACTTTAATGACCGCAACCAGCCCAGTTTAACATTATCTGTCTTCCTCCATTGCCATTTTCTTAACTCTTGTAATACTATAATTTTGCTATTACTCAAGTCAATATAGACTCTATCATATGTCTGTCCTGAATTTTTCTAGTAAAGAAACAAGGAAGCCAATTGCTGGTTGCTCCTAATGCCTGAAGAAAGTAACATGAAATAATTCTAATCTAAAAAGCTTAGTATCTGAAAACATTTTCTGGGATTCCCTCACATTCTGCAAAGTAAAAGTGCCACTCAACTTCCCAGCATCAGAGATTATATTGAAAATATAGTAGTTGTATTTATATTCTGCTATCTTAATTAAATTTGTCTGATATGGCTGAGATGTCCTGGCCCTGTTAACTCTAGGTGCCCTATAACCCAAAGTATTTTTGAACAGGCAGGTAGGATAAAATATAATTATTTGTCTGCTGAATTGATTTTACTGTGGAAAAGAGTGAGCTAACCAGCCACATCTCTGTATATCCAAATCTTCCACCACAACTTCAAAGAAACTGGAGAAATTAAATGAATAAAAAGATGCTCTCCTTTATGTATTCAGATCCGCTAGCCTAAAGCTCAGAGACTTTTCTAGACTCACTTCCAATCTTTAAAAAATGAGCATTGCACAACAGATCCATGGGAGCTCCACAGCTCTCAGTAACTATTTCTTTACTTTTCTCTACATCTCTTAATGCTGCTGGTATTCTCAGCTTTGATGAGCCATATTCTTAGGTTTGATGCAAAATAAGCAGCATCGCTCCTTACTGAAGGCACTAATTAATGCCCAGTCCTAACCGAGCACAGCTGAGGCAAATGGGAGTTAAGGACACCTGGCCTTGCAACTGTAGGCTAGAAAGGTGGATTCTTGTTGGTATGGTACAGGCCCTTATGTGCTGTTTATTTTGTAAATTCTGTGTGAGCCTGGCATCTCTCAGGGTTCTAGCAGTTTCAGAACTGTAGATACAGGCTATAGTACTGCTCATGGGAGTTTTTAGAACACTTTAATGAGACACGGAGGCAATTTTGCGGAGTCATGCTGCAAGTCGACATGTACCTGTGAGCGCCAGTGTGGGACTGTGAAAGAACTGAAGTTCCTTTTGTTTGAAAGGCAGATGGAAGAAACAGTGACAGTCAGTACAGAAAAATCTGTGAGAAGGCTGACGTGGAGGGAAGGCATG